AATGTCATATGGTATAACATAAAACATTTTATAATTAACAAATCCACAAATAATATCATATGGTATAACATAAAACATTTTGACATAAATAAATAAGAACCAAGTTATCCAGAAAAGCAAATCTTTTGATAATTAACTGTTCTGTTACTTTGCTACACTGAAGATCTACTACATAACTCACATAATATAGTTTATAGCTATACCTATATTATTATGCATCAAAAATATTACATGAATAAAACTGTGTCTCAGAAAGAAAAAAGTCACAAAAACTATCAGAAAGCATGGGATTCTGATGCAAAAAAATATACCTAAATATACACTCATTACCAAGACTACCAGATATTCCAGTAAAACTGGGAATGTCCAGTTTCTCCATACTTTGATAAGAGTTTTATATGTAAAGTTTGTCATTACAAATAGCTGCTTTAAATTTTACTTGGAGAGTCACCTGACAATGGCAAAACACACCGTATAGTGTTCCCTCCCTCTCTGCTATGTTTACTTAACCTAATCTGTCATTGGACAGCTGCAGGAATTCAGATTTGAAGCCCTGCCAGCTGCAAAAAAAGAAAATGAAGAAGCAACAGTAGATTCAAGACATCTTAGGTGTATCGTTTATTTATAATTATTATTTTTTTAAGTAGAAAAACTATTAGTAAATTTGGTTTTCCTACGATTAAAAATGTGAGGCAATAAAAATTAGTAAATTACAACAACACAGTGTTGTTGTAATTTAAATTTTAAACTGTTTCAGTCCTGTTACAGGATCATTCCATATTATGGGGTCCTTCTGGAAATCTGATAATTCTCCTCATTAGATTCATCTGGAGTTATTGTGGATAGGATTGTTATTTCGTTCACTATAAAACATTAACCTGACAAATACTGCAGACTGGAAAAAAATTATCCGCACTGCAGTGAGTGATTAGTACTTCTATTTTTTGTAAGTTTTAGATAATAACTAAAATAACATAAGAACAAAAACTAAGGATAAAAAAAAGAACTGTTTGGCATCTACATGATCTAAACTTTCCCATCCAACTTAAGTCTAAACTTAATATAAAAAAAAAGCAACAACCTACTCTGAAGATGGAGAATTCCTACAACAAACTGTGAAAGTTCTGGTACTTGCTTGACTATTTCATCTGTTATAAGATGACAACCTCGTTGTAAAGGTTTCAGATTTATTTTTTTCTGAATCCACGAAGAACCTCGAATAATTCCAGTACTTGAACTAGTACTTGCCATGTTTTTATTACCGTTAGCGTCATCTATCGCATTTAGAATTATAAATATAATATTTGTTTTATGGGAGTGGCAGAAAAACATATAAAAATATATAATTCAGACATTACGAATCCTGCTTTTCAAATGCAAAAAAAAAATAAAACACTCTAAGAATTTATAAGTGTATTAATATTTAAAATTAAGGTAAGTGATAAAATAAATTAAATCCAACTAATGAAAGTTTCTTGTTGATAGGTAAGTATATATTCATTGAGTCTTATCTCTAGCATACCAAAGCATATGATTATAAATCTAGTTCACAAAACCAAAATTGTGAAAGAATATATATATAAAACTAAGAACGTGGCTACAACCTTATATAAATGTTGTAATTCAGGAAACGAGTTGAAATTCGAGCGATTTATAAAGAGCATGACCGCCGATTTAAGGGCAAACCGCAAGAAAAACAATTAATACAGATATACAGAAGTTCATTTATTAAAGACATTGTTAATGCTATGAACACCACCATAAAGGTAATACACAAAATTGTGTTGAAAGAAGACTTAAGAGAATGCCGGAC